TAGCTATAGTTTTTCTCTTTTGGTATTGCACAGTTGTAAACGTAACCCATTTTAACTTCGAATCGAATTTCGTGATTTTTGATTTGCAAATGTATTGTGACTAATTAAAAAAAGGCATTTTCGTAAGGGCTGAGATTTAACAGTTAATAATTGGTCAATCCTCTCTCAACAACTCCTCACAAGCCTGTACAGTGTCGGACAAAACATAAAAAAAATTGTTGTAGAAAAATTTATTTAATTTACATACAATGTATGTACATACACACACATAATTCCATCATTCATATTTTAGTGAAGATTCTCAATTGTACTGTGTATGATCTGAAGAATATGAATGCCATTTTGGAACGTTTTTTCTTTCGCCGTATAAAGTAGTTTGAAATTTCGAAATTTTGCGAAAATTTTCAATTGAAATTTGGATTATTAAAATGTAATCGATTCTTTCACAGACCAGCTAAATCTTTCTTGGGCAAAGCTTATCCATCACTTGTGTGTTTTCCAAAAACAAATAATTTTTTCTCGTCGATAATTTATTCATTGAACTATGGTAATATTTGTAGATCGAACCATGCATAGTTGTATTTATTTGCCAAACTTTGGAACGATGGTCAGCCTCGTCTTNATACTGTGTATGATCTGAAGAATATGAATGCCATTTTGGAACGTTTTTTCTTTCGCCGTATAAAGTAGTTTGAAATTTCGAAATTTTGCAAAAATTTTCAATTGAAATTTGGATTATTAAAATGTAATCGGTTCTTTCACAGACCAGCTAAATCATTCTTGGGCAAAGCTTATCCATCACTTGTGTGTTTTCCAAAAACGAATGGTTTTTACTCGTCCATAGTTTATTCATTGAACTATAGTAATATTTGTAGACCGAACCATGCAGCATGCAGTTTACAGAAAGGTTACGTTTGGTTTTTGATGCACTGGCACTTTGGTCGGCCAACACAATGCACATAGTTGTATTTATTTGCCAAACTTTGGAACGATGGTCAGCCTCGTCTTTTTTGAGGTAAAATTTTTCTAAAATGCGATGGAGATTCCAATTACGAAACGTCCTACTCAATATGTTTTGTTCGGCACTGTATCTTTAATGGAATGGAGTAATTTTGGTGCTTCTTGCTTGTAAAATACCAGTTTTTCCCCGGTGCTGCTTTCTTCTTTGGTGTAATCACATAAGCAGCAACTCTAAGCACTTAACACTTGTTCGTATTATTTTAATTATTTTTCTTTTGTTTCGTTCAATTATTCATGTTCAGTTATTCATGTTCAGTTACGTACTATATTAATTTTCGAGATTTTATTATATTTAAATATAACTGCTTATTAATTGGTTTAGTATATATACCTTATATTTTCTATTAAAAATAAGTACATACAAATTATTATTTTTTGAACAGAATTTAATATGTAATCATAATTGTAAAAAAATTAAATAATTACAATTACATATTTATATATGATTTTAATTTCCTATATACATATGTACATATGCAAGCTTGTACATATGTATTTCCTTAAAATCCCCTTTAAGATGGCATAAAAGTATAATAGGAAGTTTAGAAAGGGTTTCGCTTAAGCACAAAGTACAGCAATTCTATAATTTACATATGTACAACAACATAAGGGGACATTCGAACTTATTTGTAAATTACAACATTTGAAATGGAATCTTTTACCTTTTCCCATATATTTTTTAAAGCTTGCTGCTTATTTTTTTGCTCCATACATTTGCTGTTACTTTTGTTTTTTTTTTTTGATTTTCACTATATTGCGTTTTTTACTTATTTATTTTCAAATTAAATGCGCTCAAATGCTATTTGCTGTTAAACATTAACTATACATTTACACAAATTTATTAGACTTTGGAAATTTAACAATATTCCTCTCGTTTGCCATTGCAGTGCAGGCAATTTAATTATATTAGGTTATGTTAGTTCGCGAAGAAAAAAGAAAATACACTCAAAACTTATGGTGCATTTTTATGGTTTTAAAATATTTAACTTTATTATATTGTACAATATATCGTTTTTTTGGAGCGATATACACAAATGTTAGCAAGTTCATATATATGTATGTACATACATACATATATACTACATACGTAACTCTTTTCTTTTTCATTGGAGTTCTTTTTTTTATTTCATAGCGACCGCTGCCTAATTACATACTGAATATGTAGTATGTATGTAGATACATACATATGTATGTACTATATCGTTTTTCTTCGCCCAATTATTTTATAATGATGCTCCTGCAACAAGCGCTAACTATGCGGATTTAAAATTGCTTATATTTTTATTTTTTTTAAGGAATTCGGTGTGTGTGTGTGTGTGTGTGGTAGAATAAGTAAAGTCTTTGACTTAGTATTATTATTGTTTAATATTTGTTTTCAAATACTAATTGTATGCATGCGTGTGTTTGTTTTGTTTATAATGAAACTATGTGTATGTATTATCCTTTGTTTATTAATTTGATTTGGCGTCAAATTTAAATAAGTTCTTTTACAATCTATACAGTTACTTATAATTGTGATACGAAACACACTTAAATGTACGCTCGTTTAATTTGATCTTTCATTACTGCTCATTTTAATAATTTTTTATTTATTTATTGTTTATGAATCATGATTTGGCGACTATATTATATATGTATATGTATGTATGTATGTAGCATTATGCCCGTATGCCCTCTTTGTTCTATGGCCGTGTTTCATATTGGAACTTTTCTATGGCCAAAAGCAAAATAAAAGTTTTTCTCTTCAAATCATGCTTTAAAACTAATTATGTATGTATGTATGTACATATGCTCGCATAATTCTTCTTTTACTTACATATGTACATATATTTCTTTTGCTTCACTGTTAATTTTGCAAAAACATAATAAATAAGTATGTATTTAATTTGCTATTTAAAGTAATTAATTACTTTTATTTCACCACCTTTCCTCATGCATTTGTTAACCTCCAAACGGGTCGCAGAGTGCGCTTGATAAATTTCGAATAAGCAATAAAAATGTCACTCTCTCAATTGTGTGCTATAATCTTTCGTCTAACTGTTGTTAATACNCAAAAACATAATAAATAAGTATGTATTTAATTTGCTATTTAAAGTAATTAATTACTTTTATTTCACCACCTTTCCTCATGCTTGATAAATTTCGAATAAGCAATAAAAATGTCACTCTCTCAATTGTGTGCTATAATCTTTCGTCTAACTGTTGTTAATACAACTATTCAAGAACTTTCACTTGCACCTAATAATAATATGACATACTTTATTATTTTAATGTTTTTTTTTTGAATTTCCTATGCTTTTATCTAATTTAACAAATCCTTGCTTGTTGTTGTTGTTGTAGCGGCTACTAAGTAGTCCTGGCTTGTAGATGTTTTATGTTACGAAAAATACTTGGCGATTTAATTTTTTACGAATAAGCTCATTCACTAATTTTCGAATGAGTTGGATTTTCTTTGTGTACTTAGAATGGAGCAAATTTCACATAGAAGTGTTTTCCTTTCTTGAATTTTCTACTACAAATCTCATTTACCTGACCCCAATAATTTGTATACCCTTGGCGTTTGGCAGAGAACGAAATTGTTAATAATAGTATGTATTTCAAATGCACACTGTAAAAGTAACATTCATGCATTATCTTATTCAATTTCAATAGAATTAAATAAAACATACATTTAATTTTTAGCTAGAATCAAATTAAAAAAAAAACATCTTTTATTAAAAAAAAAGTCTGAATATGAATGAAATGCAGTTCTCTTTTCCATCAAAAATAAAGTACCTAAGTACCTCATTTCAAAATCCTAAAGCTATAGATCCTAGTGTAATATCTATAGTGTTGCTTACTGAAAGATTCTGGGGGATGTATAATTTTTTTTACTTTGCCAAGACATGCGAATCTTCAGAGCCTTTGAAATACAAATTGTTTAATTTAAAATTACTCTACTATCATATATACACACATATCGTCGTTTAAAGAACAAAACCTCGTATTAAGAAAATCCAAAAACTCGTATCTGAGGTTGCCCAAATTTTATAGGAGAGAGTAAAACTTGTCTTATTTCAAACCGTTCCCTCTTTTATTCCTAATTATCTCTTCTTCTTATATCTAAGTAAGTAAGATATTTTAGTATAAATGGATAAGGGCTTGATGCCAGAAGCCTCGTGTGAGCAAATAACTTTTTTGGCGCAAATGTCAGTTACGAGGTTTTGTAGAACCACGATACGCGGTTTTGTACTTTAGACGGCGATATGTATGTTCATATAGATACATACATAGCTAAAAGAGGAGAGCTAGTCAGCTTCACGAAACGGAACTTAAGTATTTCGAGTAAAATCTGACACTCAGATAGTTTATTCCCAACCCATAAGAAATTTTCTTTTGCACTTCCCATCGAAAGAGCTAAAAAAATACTAAGGAACATTGCACGTGATATCTATAGTGGGATAATTTTCAAGATAAACATATTTTTTCATACGAACGAATATTAATCATAATATTCGAGGGCGTTACTGAACTCATCGTAGTCCGATTTTTCTTGAAATATACTAAAATGAGATTTGTGTTGCTATGAACGTGTATACCTACATGCATACATAGTAAATATTCCCGATAGTATTTTCGTAGATTTCACAAAAAATGGAACTTCGATGGATGTATGTAGTAATAGCCCCGATTGAATGAAGTTGCAAAATATCGACTCGTAAGCCATTTTTCTTTTATTTTCCGAACATTTTACTCAAGATTCCTACGAAAACTATCAAAAAAAATTACGAAAAAATAAAATGATGAAAACCCAGAGTGCCACTCACGTACACATGTATGTATTGTATGTATGTACATACTTATGCACATAGAAGAAATAAATAAAAGTCAAGAAATTTAAAAGGGTCCTCAAATCATTTAATATATTTTTGCTTGCACTTAAAAAAAAAAAAACAATTATAAATAGTTTTGTGGATCGTCACTAAAAATAATATTTGACTGGCATTTTTCACTTATAAAAGTAATTTTCCTCTCAACATACAAGGCAAAATATGTAATTTCTTTTTTACAACAACCAAACTTTGTTTTTCTTTGCATAAGTGCTTGCCTTTATGTTTCTTGTTTTATATTTTATATTTATAATCTTTAAACTTCAATGAATCAATAAACGGTATTTAACATGCTGCATAGTTAATTTAATGCGTGCCATATTTGAACGAATTGAATTTTCAAATTTTTATGCATCGCTCTACACGTTTGTCAAATCTCGTCTACAATTCCATATGAATTATTCATTTACTTACACACCTTAGACTAATTACCCGTTATGCGCAGCTGTTGCCCCTTGACTATTAATATGCTCTTCACTGGGTGTTGGCGGTTGATCTCTTCGCGGCGGCATACGCTCGTTCACCGCGTCCAGACCTTTGGCTTCGGCGAATGAAGTGATCTTGTGATTGGGCGAAAAGCCTTGCATCGCATTCTTCAATGACTGTTTGCCACCAGAGAGTGCACCAAGTGGCAGTGCACCGGTTGGTGTTAATCCCTTCAACTGCAATACCGACTCAGACTCTTCACGTAGCACTGAGAAGACGCGTGCCATTTTTCCAATCGCACGAATTTTATTTCGAATGACTTCTTTGCGTAACGCCGCCTCATCATCGGATAATGGCTCTTCACTCTCTTCGGTCATAAGTTCATCGTCCGAGCAAATATTCAACACATTCACCAACATCTCGGTCACTTTTTCGCCGACGAAGGGCAAAGACCAAGTGAATACGTCCATGAAATTCGGAAGCCAGTAGGGATGCGGTGAGCAGTTGAACTGCCTTATATTCATCACATTGTTTTCATATTTCAGTACTGCCGCTTTGTTGTTGTACACATCCAAGTAATTCGGTGCCGAGAAGATGGTAATTAATGAGGGGAACCCAGTGGTTTGACTTTTGCGATACATACGATAGCCGGCGTCCTGCGCCTCGTGTGCACGTATAATCGATAATAGATTGTTATTTTGCAAGAAGTCACAGCAGGCTGCATAGCTGTAGAAATATGAGCAGCCACGCACTGAGTTATGCGAATAGAAGTCGGAATTTTTCTCATTGCCGAAATCTTCTAAGGGATCTGACCACAAAAGATCGCACATTGGACCGAATGCTGGTGGCTCTTTAAATCTATCCAAACGGCGTATGTCTTCTAGCTCGTGAATTTCCGGGGACAAGCCACCGTGGACACACAGAAATTGTTGGTTCATTAGTGCTGCTAGCGGTAAGCAATCGAAAGCCTCCATGCATGCATCATACACACGTTCCGAGTACTTGATCTTGCATTCTTGCTTGAAGGTGAAATACTCTGTTAAGTGACGGCATTCGTGATTGCCACGTAGCAAAAATAATGTATTCGGGTAGGTTATTTTCAGTGACCACAAGTACAAAACACACTCAATACTAAAGTAGCCTCGATCCACATAGTCGCCAAGGAAGAGGTATTTAGTGGAGGCAGGCGACCCCCCCACTTCAAATAATTTCATGAGGTCATAAAACTGTCCATGTATATCGCCGCATACAGTCACAGGCGCCTCAATGTCTATCATAGTTTTCTCTTGGCGCAGTAATGCAGCGCCTTCTTGAATTATTCGTAATGCAGGTGCCTCCTCTATGCGACCTTCAAGAATGAAGTGCTGTTTTAGTATGTCATGGTTTGGTTTACCAGTTCGCAGATCAAACACCTCTGCCATAGTTAACTTGTGGCTGGGTGGAAATGGAACATTGTCAATAACACGTTCCTTTGTATTGACAGCAGGTGTTTTCGCAACGCGTGTTGGACTATCTGCTTGCCCACCGGCAGCCGTTGTACCACTGCTGCTGCCTCCAGAAGTCTGGGTGTCTGTTGGAGCATTGCGTTGATCCGAAACGGCACTTGTTGCCCCACTTGCAGAAGCCGTCGTGGAATTTGGATTCGGGTTCACACCTTGACTGACGGTTGATTGATTATTCGAAGACATATTTTTATTTTAAACTGCTTTCACTTATGCTTCTTAAGATATTAATGCTCAAGATTTGAGCAGATATATTTGCCACTAGACTACCAAATAAAGGCTATATCTCTATCTGTATGGTTTATTTCGACGGGTGAATTTATTTTTCTGGTATATAAAATTCACTGTGCCTGCGTAATTTGGGTTTTATTGTATTTTTAATAATGTTTCGTTTATTTCCACACTATTTTTAGTTCCGTTTCTTTGCTATCCGTATACTCCTTCTTCAGATTTCTTTTTAACCTCTTTCGTGCACTGCCTCCGTTTTTTCACTTGCTCGCCTTGTACCGTATTGCCTTTTTGACTATTGCTCGGCGCTGCACTACTGATTGCTCTTTGCCTTCTCTTTACTATCTTTTTATTGCACTCTGCCCACTACCAGGTTTTGCAAATTTTTTACTACCTTCACTGGCGTAAATTCTTTATTTTTTTATGATATATTCATTATTGCACGTTTACTTATTGACTTTTCACAGTTTTATATAATTTTCTAAACAATTTTAACACTTTTTTTGTGCTAATCTGATGAAGTCCTAGTTGGTGAAAATTTTTTCGTTTCTCTTCTACTTGACAATCCAATACTGAAAGTGTTTCATGGTTAATTTTCTATTACAGGGTCGCATGTTATGTATCAGAAGTGATGCGTACATCATGACAGAGCTTCGTTCTACGAACGAAAAAAAGATGTTCGCTAACTTAATAAAACTAGGTTTGAAGAATGCTTCAAAATAAATCAAATTTGAGTAAATTTTTTTATTATATGGTTTTGGCTTTATTTTCAATAGAAAGCCTACAGAATGCCTATAGAGTAAATGAGAATTTGAATTTTTCTAAAGTTTCGGTGCTTTGCCAGATGTAATTCTAGGTTTCGTAAATGTGCCCATATTTTATTATTTGTCCTAATTCAAATTAATAATAGTTGCGTTCCCTAACTCGCAAGAAGTTTCAAGAATTTACAGGAATTTACCAGAAAGCGTTCAGGTTCTCGGTTCTCCGGAAAAGTAGGAAAAAATGGCAGAGTCAAATTGGTCCTCTCTTTGTCAAAAGTTGCGCAAGCTTTTAACCAAAGAATTTTTGTATATATACATTTGCATTTCCAACTTATAAAATATATCGTAGCGAAGAAATATCAAGTTTTGTAAATATTTTTGTCCATTTGCTTGTGTAATTGCTCATAATTTATCAGATCACCAAATGCTAAAAAAATGGCATCCACCGTGTATTTGACAGTTTTTACCCGAAAGCGTTCCCGTACTTTTTGATTGTTATATCTTTCTCTGAGAGGAATTTTGCTTTTTGACAGTTCTACAGGTTTTATCCAGAATGGTTGAGGAACGAAACTAATAAAAACGCATTGGCGCACACATACGTTAGTGTTTCGCAGAGTTTCTCCTCCGATTTTTGGCGTGCGCCTTACAATTTCACATCGACTCCGAATAGTATTTTTTAAGAGAATCTGTTTTCATGGCAGAAATGCACTCGGAGGTTTGCCATTGCTTGGCGAGGGGCGACCGCTATTGAAAAAAAACCTTGTTTGTTTTAGTTTTTATTTTTTGATGTCGAAAAACGCCCTATCTCAGAAAACTTTTCAAGAACGCCCTATTTTAGAATTTGGTTGAGAAACGCCATTTCTCTGAATTTGATTGAAGTACGCCCTATTTCAGAAATCGGTTCAAAACCCCCTATTTAGCTTCCGATTTGAAAACGCGCTATCTCAACATATGTTCAATATACTTTCAGTTGAGATAGGGCCTTCTTGAACCAAATTCTGAGATAGGGCGTTCTTTAAATAATATCTTAGATAGGGTGTTTTCGAACCGGCTGCCGACATAATTCAATCTTCCGCTCAGCCGTCGATGTGTACACACGTACCTAACCGGTTTCAGCCAGCCTGAAAAGACTAGTTTATTTTTGCATGTTAGTCTGCTCAGGCCGTCTGAAAATACTAGTGTCTCGAGGCTCATTAGTTTCAAATGTGTTTTCATTTATTTAACATTAAATGCAATTACATTTGAACTTTTCAATCCCTTACTCAACCTTAAGAAAGAAGAAAGGAGATTGGTTTAGAGGATAAAGTGAAAAAGTCAAATTAGCTCCAAGCAACAAATAAACGGAACATGATACTGTTGCCAGCATTACTTTGAAGCTATAAAGGACTTGTTGCTTTAGGAGCCAGCATACTGTCATGCGAGATCGAACGAAGCACGATTCTTGCCCGCAGGTATTTAATTAGACTTGACAGGACCTTCCAAACGAATATAATCCAACCTTAATAAATCTCTGATCATTCTTGTTTGCTCATATGTCACAGCAACGTAGACGAACCATCGTGAGAGAACAAATCTGCACAAGGTTCGTGGCCGTTGGGGTTATGCTATCCAGGAACAAAATCTAGCAAAATGTACCGAAAATGCTATATATGTACCTAATATACTCTCAAATTATAAAAGGACCGAAAAAAGTACAATTGTACTTATTTTTCCATCACTGGTGGTAGCCCTGATTACTAGGGTTGGCATTTAACGAAACCGATTGCGTAGCAAAAGGCTAGAAAAATCGTAGTAAAATATAAAAAATAGTAGGAAATGTACAAATAGGTTATTATTTAAAATTTATAGGCTATTTAAAACAAAAACATAATTACATTTCAATAACAGCTTTAACTTAGGCTTAAGAAAGCTAAAGAGGTGAACATTTCCATCACGTTTAACCATTCTTTGAAAAATTGTAAACTTGTAATAAGTTAATACGCTCTGAAATAAAAAATAAAAAACAAATAGTTGTACAGGAGGCTTCGAATAACTGTCGCACAAGTTTTTTTTTTTTGAAATTAAAAGGTCCTTTCTAGAAAAAAGTCTTTTGTTGTTAATTTTCCACGGGTTCTACTTCAATTTTATTATTTAGTTTTTAAAATATAACCTTTACTTGGGTTTACCAGCGGTAACCATTACGGGAGAAAAGCGGATGCGGCACGCAAGTCTTCGTCGGTGAATTTATTCAATATCTTCTGATCTAATTTCCTCCATTATTCTATATACTCCCCCTTTTCTTCAACATATGGCCTCAAACTCAGCAGTCAGATAGACTCGGAAGGGCCATTCCTTCGACCAACCCTATACAGTTTTTCTTTTTTTTTTGGCTTTTTTTATACAAAGTCTAAGAAAAAATGCACCTGAAAACATTTGCGTGGCGCCTGTACTTATCTTCCAAAGTTTATACTGCTGGAAAATGCAGATAAGGATTAAAATTTTAAAACTGATTATTGAAATTTAAGTAAAATATTTACGATTTTAACAATAAAATATGTTTTTCGCAAAATCTATAAAGAATACTTGTATTCTTCAAAAAAAAAACCCTCTGCGAGAGTTATTCGGGGACAATCTGTACATTACCACTGCACTGAAATTTGAGATTTCGCGAAATCTTTTGAAATCCAGGTGGATTTCCCATATATTTCCATAATTTCGATTTCTTGGATTTCAATCAGATTTCAACGAAATCCTCACTTTTGTAGTTCACTCGGAGGCCACAAAGGCCCATTGCGATGCCCAGAGGGGTTTCCCCATGCCTATCCCTACATGTCTTTGAACCATTTCTATTTTCTGGCGAATCCAAGCAGTCCAGAGCTTTCCCTAAGGTATCCCGGCTCTCGAAGAAGTGGTGGAAAGAAACTTGAGGCGTTTTCTTCGGAATGCTGGACATTCACAAAGGAAGTGCTGTACGGATTCTACCTCCTCCTCATCNTCCAGTGGAGCTTTCCCTAAGGTATCCCGGCTCTCGAAGAAGTGGTGGAAAGAAACTTGAGGCGTTTTCTTCGGAAAGCTGGACATTCACAAAGGAAGTGCTGTACGGATTCTACCTCCTCCTCATCTCTACAGCTTCTACAGGAATCGTTATGTGGTGCTCCGAACCTGGCGGCCATGTGGCCAATGGTCCAGTGTCTCATTAGTATTCCTTTTAGAAGGATAACGTTTGGCTTTAACAGCCTTAATAAACTCATTGTTCTTCGTTCGTCGAACCGTGGCCAGAGCGTTCGCGATACCATGCAGCTGTGAAGATTTTCCCACCTACTATTGGTGGCTGCCTTGGTTACTCTCTCGACCTCCGAAAACAGAAATCGCAGGGGAGGTTTCACGATCTGGTTCGCTTCCACAAGCCCCATTCCAGATCCCTTTCTAGCACATTCGTCCGCTTCCGCATTTCCTGGGACACCATTGTGTCCCGGGACCCAGTAAAGGTTGATTATGTGTTGCTGTAGAGCTTGTAGGGATCTTCGGCATTGCTTAACACATATCGAGTTGGTCGTTTCCGACCCTAAGGCTTTGATAGCTGCCTGCCTTTCAACGACAAAGGCAAGTTTAGATGGAGCTAGGTCGATCATGCTCACCAGCCTTGCCGCCATGTCGATTGCATATATCTCAGCCTGAAAAACACTACAGTGATCCGGGAGTATGTAAGACTCTCTCAAAGATAACCCCTGAGAGAAGACTCCAGATCCTGTTCCGACGTCCATTTTGGAGCCGTCCGTGAAAATAGGTATTTTCCACTTTTGTAAAAGGAACAAACCTTTAGATACTAAAAAGTTCAACCCTGCAGACTGCTTCACTTGATATGTCAAAATTCTCTACATATACAAACGCACACAAACACATACACTAATTAGCAAATGTCAACGAAATCCAGAGAAGCGCGGTGGAAACACTTTAAACAGAAGGAGTGTTCGCTATGCAACTGCCAGTAATAATTAACCAGTAACAAAATTCAGAGAATAGGGTACCTTACTCTCCCAAAGAGAGAAACTTTCTAAGTTTTGCGCGAACAGGAATTGGCAAACATTTGCAAGCTTCACTGCCAGCTGGTGTACACGGTTGCATTTCGAGCATAATAAATTTTTTAAATTATTTCAGGTGGAAACCAAAACAGGACCTATACGTATATTTCTTCTTATTCTGACTTTCTTCAACATACCCTTCAATTTCTTCGTGGAAGTCACTGTCGGATTTCCTATATCGACAGTGGTGTCGAATGCGTTCCGATTACGAATACAGCTTTTTCAGCCGAGTACCATTCAAATGTTTGGAATTAATTAAACTAATTGAATAAACGAATATTTATATACTTCTTTCATTAGTAAATCGCAACAAGATTGTTCATTTTTAAATTTAACGAATTTGTTGATTCAAAGTAATGTTGAAAAAAATGCAACCGCGTGCCACAATCCTGGTTGCAAATTCTTACTGGCAAAAATTTTCCCAGCACGAATTTGCAACTTCCCTCCAAATGAAATGCCAAAATTGTGCTCTCTCCTTGCAAGTTTTACTGGGTTTTTGGCTAAACGAACACGATTTGGTAACAATTGGTACCAACTTGTAAAAATTTTTTGCATAGCGAACACTCCTAGATTTTTAAAATTTCGAGATTTTCGTGTAAAATCCTGTTAAAATGTCAAACAGCAAAATTACTCTATGGAGTGAGAGTAAAAAGTGAGTAACAACGAAAAAGTACGGGAGAAAAAATAGCATTTTATAGTAAAAGCGTCAACCAGTGATCGCTTGACACTTTTCATGATTTTACCAGAGGAAAAAG